CCGAAAACCAGAACGAGAAACCTTCGGGCATGACTTTCTCATGACCCGAGGGGGCTCTGGGACTGAAGGAGGGGAATGGTCACTGCACCGACCTTGCAGACGTGCTGCAGCGGATGAATTTCGCGTGGATTCTTGTCCGTCTTCATTCCTGGCCCCCAAAAAAATCGCACGAAATTCACCTCGAAATCCGAAACGAAATTCTCCAGGACACCCCGGGCCCACCCGATCGGTTTCCGAACGAAACCCGCTCTGCGATGTTGCCGCCAGGAGGAATGGGGAGTGGGACTGGGGTTAGGTCGGGCATGCCCCCCCCCCACAGGGGGATTTTCGACGAAAAATAAGAACACCCCAAAATATTCAAAATAGCTTGAAAATGCTAGAAAGATGGTCCCCACACGATTTTTTCCCATTTTTTGATCTCCCCTCTGTCGAGGGACAGGCCCGACTTATGACTGGGGAGGGCGACTGGGGAGGGGGAGTGCGCAGAGGGCAGCTGGACGCCCCCGCCGTGCCTGACCCAAGGCCCCCCCGAGGCCGAGGGTGGTGCGCAGCCCCTCCTGGCCTCGGCCAGGAGGGCGTGGTCACAGCGACAGGGCCCAGGACCCAGATAGAGGCCTCCTAGATGGGGTCCGAGTAGATGGGGTCGAAGGATCGCACCGCATCGCCAATGCATCGCCGATGCATCGGCAATGCATCGGCGATGCATCGGCGACGTCGGCGTGGGGAAACACAGTCTCCACATCGAGCCGCATCGCCAATGCATCGCCGATGCATCGCCGATGCATCGGCGATGCGGTGCGAGCCTCCGACCCCATCTACTCCGACCCCATCTGGGAGGCCTAGACCAGACCCCCTCGGGTTACAGTCGGACTTCATTGGACAGGACACGCGAGAGGACACGAGACCCTTCCGAGGGTCACGCTGCCAAAGGAATGCAGGAGGCACAGGTCGCGAGACACAGGACACAAAGGTACCCTTGATTTGGCAGGGTCGACCGACTAATCCGGGCCGACTGGCGCCTTCGGTGGAGCTCCCTATGGGGCCACGACGCACTATACTGGGTGGGTGAAACGCAGGGAGAAGGGAGGAGTGACGGGAGGAGTGACGGGAGGGGGGAGGAGGGGGAGGAGGAGAGAAGAGGAGGGGAGGAGAAGGAACGCGGGGCGACGTCTCTTCAAAACGAGGACCCAGCACCACAGGATGGTTGGGAAAAATCAGAATGGGCAATTTCCCCAAATTCTCTGCCTCCGGGGGCCCTTCCGGTGCCTCGGGGCCCTCAAAAAGCCACCCAGGAGGAGAAACTTGTCCCCGGGGAGCTGGCCATCGCTCGGACGTCCATTTCCTGTGCTTTTTTTCGGTTTCATGTGTGGTTTTTTCGCCTGCTGGAAATTTTTTCGCGTGTCGGCCGCTGCTTGATTCCCTTGTGCATTCCGGCGTTGGCTTTTGGCCCGCTGGCAATTATCTTGCGTGTTTTCCATGCTTGATTCGACCCGCTCTCTGGAATCTTCCTTGGAGCCGCAGATAAAAAAGTGTGTTTTTTCGCCAAAGGATCAAGGATGCTCCTCGAAGGTCCTCGCCGAGGAAAAAAACGCACACGTCAAAGCGATGCCGGGGGGAATGGGCCGAGAACCCCGAGGCCCGAGGCGAGGCCGCCGTGCGGCTCTGCCGCCGACGCGCTGGGCTCCTCTGGGCCCTCGCGCCAGCGGGCTCCTCCTCCTCCCCCTCCCCCTCCTCCTCCTCCTCCTCCTCCTCCCCCTCCTCCTCCTCCTCCTCCTCCTCCTCCTCCTCCTCCTCCTCCTCCTCCTCCTCCTCCTCCTCTTCCTCATCCCCCTCCTCCTCCTCCTCCTCCTCCGTCGTCGTCCTCGTCCTCGTCCTCCTCCTGCCAGATTGCCGACCCCCTCCTCCTCATCCTCCTCCTCCTCGTCAGCCCATCGTCGTCGTCGTCGTCGTCGACGTCGTCGTCGTCGTCGAGGAGCCGACGCCAGTGGCGGAGGGCAGAGCTCAGGATCAGGTCTGGGCTCCGAAACGTTCTAGACAGAATGTACGAACAACTTCGCGTGCGAACATCCGCTCGCGGTTCCTTGATCCCAGACCCCCTCGAGTACTGACAAAAATCACGACGGAAGGCTTTTGTTCATTTTCGGCCTCCAGAGGCCCTCACCGGGCCTCGGGGGCGTCAAAATTACTCCGACGGAAGAACCCCACATAAGAATCCTCTGGGCGAATCTGGAAAAAGCCATCACCGTCGTCCTCGTGGTTGGTGAGGCGTCCTGGCTGTCTCTTCTGCGTATATTTCTTCTCGCCTTGGCGCGGGCCCCCCTTCCACTCCTTACGTTGTCCCCATCCTCGCCCCCCTGTTTGTTCCGCGCCCCGCCACCTCCTCCCCTTCCTGTTGCATGAGCGCGCATGTCGATGTTCCTCGGCGCCGTCGCCGCCACGGCCAGCACAGGCGCGTTCTCTACTGGTCACGTCGCGCAGCCGTTGGGACAACCCCGCGGGCCAGGCTGTCGGGACAACCCCGCGAGCCGTTGGCGCGCAAGACCAAGCCGTTGGGACAACCCCGCGGGCTTCGAGCGAGGCGCAGCCGCGCTCAGGCGGAAGGCAGCACGAAACCCAGCTCTGCCGCGAGCTGCTTCGCCTCCGCCCTGGACAAAACCGCTCTCTTGTCGAACTCCAGGAGCGCCTTCCGCAGGGACGCCGGCGGCCCGCACTCCAGGAACTCTCGCGGCGGCGGCCGCAGGATCAGCATGTTCCGCATGCACGTGGCGCGGGAGAACATGACGTAGAGGTGCAGCCACCACTGCTCGTCCGACATGCCCGTGCGGCCAGCGTCCTCGTCTCTCGCGCAGTCGATGGTGACGCCCTTGCGCAGCGTCTGGCCCTGCGACAGCGTGGAGGTCAGGTAGGACGCGTGCGTCAGGGTGAACCCCGAGCGGCGCACGCTGTGCGCCCCCGAGCTCTGCCATGTGAACTCCCTTTCGCTGGGCCTGAACATCAGCAAGCTCCGCGCCCGCGCCTCGGCCTGGCCGTCGTCGTCGGCGCCTTCGGCGCCCTGTCGCAGCACCTCGGCGACCTGAGGAGCCCAAAAACTTCCTTGTTGCGTCCAAAATGTGGCCTGGGAGCTGCGTTCTGGCAGCGCGAGAACCCAAAATTGACGACAGTTACAGGTTTTGGATGACCCGCTCGGATTACCAACATGATCTGCGGGCCCCATAGGGAGGGGGCTCCCGCCTGAGACTTCCTCGCAGTTCACTCACAGACGAGGCTCCCGCCTGAGACTTCCTCCATATTCAGGCTTGAGGATCCCAGAAGTGACGACAGTTACAAGGTTCCGATGACCTGCTCGGATTACCAACATGATCTGCGGGCCCCATAGGGAGGGGGCTCCCGCCTGAGACTTCCTCACAATTCACTCAGAGACGAGGCTCCCGCCTGAGACTTCCTCCAAATTCAGGCTTGACGAGCCCAAAAGTGACGACAGTTACAGGGTTCCGATGACCCGCTCGGATTACCAACATGATCTGCGGGCCCCATAGGGAGGGGGCTCCCGCCTGAGCCTTCCTCAGAATTCACTCACAGACGAGGCTCCCGCCTGAGACTTCCTCCAAATTCAGGCTTGAGGAGCCCAAAAGTGACGACAGTTACAGGTTTCCGATGACCCGCTCGGATTACCAACGTGATCTGCGGGCCCCATAGGGAGGGAGCTCCCGCCTGAGACTTCCTCCCAATTCACTCACAGACGAGGCTCCCGCCTGAGACTTCCTCCATTTTCAGGCCTGGGGAGCCCAAAAGTGACGACAGTTACAGGGTTCCGATGACCCGCTCGGATTACCAACATGATCTGCGGGCCCCATAGGGAGGGGGCTCCCGCCTGAGACTTCCTCACAATTTACTCAACGATGATGAGGATGAGGATGATGAGTGGTGGTGAAGATGAGTGGTGAAGAGGATGATGATTGATTGTGAGTGGTGGTGGCGATGATGATGTTTGAATGAGGAGATGCCGATGCCGATGATGATGATGATGATGATGATGATGATGATGATGATGATGATGATGATGATGTTCGTGAGCGTGTGAGGGAGTGCGAGTGGTGATGATGATGAGTATGTGAGTGACTAAGCATGTGAGAGAGCATCATCGATGATGCTGATGAGGTTGATGATGAGAGAGTGTGAGTGAGTGTGAGTGTGAGTGTGTGTGTGTGTTCCTGTTCCTGCGCGGGGTGTCCAGAGAAAACAAGAACCCCACTTTGGATGTGGGGAAAAAGACTCAGGATGCAAAGCCGGTCACGGGGAAGGGGCCGGGACCTCTGGGGGTCGACGTGATGAACAAAAACATTATGTCGGGGGTCTGGGATGAGCGCTAGACCCCCCTTGGCACGGAGCGCCAGGGGCGCCGCTGGAGGCGCCGCCCAGGGGGGGGCCAACCCCGAATCAAGAAATCCGCGCGGAGGTCCGACAATGTACGGTTATATGATATGCTAGTGCTCCTTCTTCGACCCAGAGCGTCTCAAAGACTTCTGTGCACCCTCGATCCTCCGCCTCGATCCTTGGTGCTGCACCTTCGATCCTCCTCCTCGACCTCCTCCTCCTCAATCCGCGATCTCCTCGGTCTCCTCGACCTCCTCTCCTCGATCCTCCCCGATACTCACCTCCTCGATCTCCTCGACCTCCTTCCCGATCCCCGATCCCCGTTCCTCGATCCTCCTCCTCGATTCTCCCCATCGATCCTCGATCCTCCTCCGAATGAACGGTTTCCCCCGGGGCCGTAGGCGACCCGAGGAGGGGAGGGCGAGAAGGGGGAGGAGGAGGAGGAGGAGGAGGAGGAGGAGGAGGAGGAGGAGGAGGAGGAGGAGGAGGAGGAGGAGGAGGAGGATGAGGAGGAGGAGGAGGAGGAGGAGGAGGAGGAGGAGGAGGAGGAGGAGGAGGAGGAGGAGGAGTTGATCCTTCATCCTCCTCCGAAATCCTCCGCCTCGATCCTCCCTCCTGCGCGCATCCTGCACCTTCGGCAGCCTGCCCTTGACGACCGCGCGCCACACCGCGGCGTCGCCGTCGCTGCGGGCCGCCGCGGGCGCGGCCTGCGCGCGACGAAGGCGACGACGGCCGCCCGCCCGGCAACGACGACGACGACGGCGGCGACGACGACAGGGGCGACGATGACGAGGATGGCCACGGCGACGACGACCGCAGTCCCTGAGATCCCCTGAGATCCTGGGGCTGCAACTTGCTCACACTGGGCGTGTTCGCCCCGCTCTGGGACCCGGAACCATCCCTGATCGACCGGGCTCCGCAAATGCAGCGGGAAGAGGGGGTATGCGGCTCCGGTGGTGATTTTTCGTGATGAATGGGCCGTGAGCGTGGCAGGACCGCCCCTCTCGCAAGACCGCTCACACACGCCGTCGGCTATCTTTAGGTCGGGCATGTCTCCCTACAGGGAGATTTTTTGACGAAAAATTAAACACACCCATGAAGAATTCAAACATATGTTAAAAAACATGCTCAAACAATGGTCCCCAGACTTTTTAATACATTTTTTGAATGTTCCTCCTGTAGAGGGACAGGCCCGACTTGAGGCTATCTGAGACCAGCGACGACGGCGACCGCTTGGACTTCGGTTCCTCCTCGTCGTCGTCCTCATGCTCCGCCTCCTCCTCCTCCTCCTCCTCCTCCTCCTCCTCCTCCTTTTCCTTCTCCTCCTCCTCCTCCTTTTCCTTCTCCTCCTCCTCCTCCTCCACCTACTCCCCCTCCCCCCTCTCGTCCTCCGCCTCCTCCTCCTCGGCGCTTTCCAAGGTCCGCAGAACCGGCCGTAAGGCCTTTGCCATCACATCGTCGGATATCTGAGACAAGCGACGACAGTGACCGATTGGACACCCAGAAGTCGGCACGCAAACATGGGCACGATGCCCAACAACAGATGTTGACCAACACCGACCGTGGCCGCTGTTGGGCAGCCGGTCGTCTGTCCCAAGATGGACAACATCCGCGGGGACACCGACAGCGCCAGCAGGCCCGCGCAGGGAGCAAGGGGGGAGCAGAAAATACAGATGCATATGCATATGTCTACGTACACGCATGTTCACATGCATATGTACACGTCTACGTGCGTATATATATATATATAGATATATATATATATATATATATATATGTATATATGTATACATACATATATACGTAGATGTGCTTGTGTATCAAAGCGCGTATATGTGTCTAAAGAGGAATCTGTGTATGCATAAGACAACGCTGCCTGACTGCGCCGCACCTCGGCCAGCGGGGCCGCGTCCAGCGCGGGCCCCTCGCCGGCGCCGTCTGTCCAGGCCTCCCGGGGCAGCGGCAGGAGCGAGAGACCGCGGACACACTCGATGAGAAATCTTGCTCGAAGGGATGCAGGCCAGCGTGGGCCCCAAGCGGTGTGCTTCTAGCAGTATATGTCGCCGCGCCGTCTGTCCTCGACGCGGCCGAATGGAGGACGCCGACGCCACGGCAAACCGACTGCAAACCTTGGGCCCCGCGCCACAGCTGACGACGCCGGCACCGCGGCAAACCCGCGGCAAACTCACCGCGTCCGAGGCAGAGGTTGCCCTGGTGGCCGAGGCGCCCCCAAGAGGTAAGGCTGCGCGTCAAAACGAAAGGGCGCGACGACATGCGTTGTGACATCTACGCGGTGCAATCTAGTTGTGCGGTCTTCGTGGTGCCATATATGTGACGACTGTCACCCGGCCGAAGTTGAAGTTGTCAATTCCAGTGCTCGCGCAGAATTCTCACCCACCCACTCACGACCTGCATTTTTTAAAACCCATGCGGCGGCAATTGCGACGACTGCTTGGCGCCGGCTAGCGCATCGCTGCGGCCGCGCTAGCGCGCAGGCTCGCTCGTAGAGCGGCCAGCTAGTCTGGCACGACCGACGCGGCCGCGGTGGCGCTCAAATCTGGGCACTTCCCAGCGCGTCTCGCAGGCCGTGCTGACGCGCGAACACGTCAGTGCGAGTCGGCGGCTCGGGCAGGCACGGTATCATGGCGACGTCGGCAACGGCAGACACGATGACGATAGAAGCGGAGCTGGTGACGATGAGGACAATGACGACGGCAAGGCATGGCCTGGCCTCCAGAACAAACATGCTCGAGAGCACACTGGACCAGGAAAGGCGGCGAGACCTCCAGGGGTCCACGTGGTGATGACATCGCGGCGTCGGCCTGGGAGCATCGAAACCATCGATCGAAGATCGAGGATCGACCTTCTCGGTGCTTGGGCGCTCTCGCCAACGGTCTTGCATGGGCTCTCGGCAGGCCTCCCGGGGCCTCGGCGGGACGCGCCGAGCCACACACTTTGGCAAAAGGCCCCATCCTTGGGCGCCCGAACTACCCGGGGTAACTCGGGCCCGGGGCAACTCGGGCCCGGAATCCCGAAAAACACGATCCCGCGTGAGCCCTGACCCGAGCTGCCCCAGATGATACGCTCCGACACTCTGAGTCTGGGCATCGCTCGGACGTCCCTTCCCTGTGTTGTTTTTGGTTTCGTGCGCGGCTTTTTCGCCAGATGATCCAGGATGCTCCTCGATGGTCCTCGCCGAAGGAAGAATGCACACGTCCGAGCGATGCCAAGCTCTGGGCTCCATGGCCCAGACCTCCCAGACCCCCGACGTAATGATTTTTTCATTGCGTCTGCCCCCAAAGGTCCCGACCCTTTCCCCAGGACCGGCTCTGCATCCAGAGTCGTTCTTTGACGCTCCCGAGGCCCGGTGAGGGCCCCCCGAGGCCGAAAATTAGGAAAAACCTCCCGTCATGTTTTTTTCATTACTCGAGGGGAGGAGGAGGAGGAGGAGGAGGAGGAGGAGGAGGAGGAGGAGGAGGAGGAGGAGGAGGAGGAGGAGGAGGAGGAGGAGGAGGAGGAGGAGGAGAGGAGGAGGAGGAGGAAACCCTCCGGTCGTGATTTTTTCGCTGCTCGAGGGGGTCTGGGGACCTCCCACACCCTGGCATGAGCACGGCGGGGGTGCGCTCGCCACGCCAGGCCTCCGTGGGAGGCCGCCCCCCGGCCCCCGAGGCCGATGGCACGACGAGGCCGCCCCCTGCAGGGGGAAGGGCGGGAGCCCGAGACTGCCCCGGAGGACCCCAAGCCAGGCCCAAGGGGGGCCCAGAGGCCAAAATCCTCCCTTTCTCCATGATTTTGGAAGGAATTTTGCCTTCTCGTCTTCTCGGCGAGCCGACGCTCCACGACGGCCGAAGAAAACCACAAGACCGCCCCAGGACGGCCCAAGAGGGCTCCAAGCGAGTCCCCAGACGGCAGCCCCAAGATGGCCCAAGAGGCGCCCGAAACGGCCCCGGAGGACCCCAAGCGGGGAGAACCCCAATGCTCAGGTCGGGCATGTCCCCCAGATCCCTTGACCCCCTCGAGCAGTGAAAAAATCGTGACGGGAGGTTTTCCTTCATGTTCGGCCTCCGGGGGGCCCTCACCGGGCCTCGGGAGCGTCAAAAAACGACTCAGCATGCAGAGCCGGTCCTGGGGAAAGGGTCGGGACCTCTGGGGGTCGACGTAATGAAAAAATCATTACGTCGGGGGTCTGGGTACAGGGGGGATTTGGGGCCAAAAATTCAGAAATCCCCCCCCCCTCCCCCAACAAAACACAGCCAGATTGCAAGACAAGTGCTAAAACAATCGTCCCACGACGATTGTGGGCTATCTTTGAATTCTCCTCCTGTGGAGGGACACGCCCGACTTCGCCCAACGCGTCGGAGATGCTGCGGGGAATCTCTGTGCGCCGCCGCCGCCGTCCAAAACCCATCACCAGGCTGCCGCGAGTCAGTCGGTGCTTGCGCTGGCCTGTGTCTGATTCCTCCTCCTCCTCCTCCTCCTTCCCCCTGGCCTCGCGCCTGGGGCAGCGCCGCCGCCTTCCAAGACCCATCACAAGGCTGCTGCGAGTCAGTCGGTGTCTGCCGGCCTCCGTCGGAGCAACCTGGTCTCCGGCCCCGGCGAGGAGGCATCTTGCGCGACTGGCCACGCGCAAGGGACTCGCCCTCACCCCTGAGCACCGACCTACTTCTTTGCATCTGCTCTCTCTCTCACACACACTGGCACACCCGTGTGAATACACACACTCTGTACACGTCGTTCATTTCTAGTCGCGCTCGTTTCTAATTGCGCTCGTTTCTAATTGTTCCTGGCCCCCTAGCGGCCGGGAAGAGGCCCAGGATAGAACAATCAAGAATGAAAGGATCTTGCCCCCAGAAAAAAATCAAAGAAATTTCGAATTCTTAGAAATGAACAATGTGTACCGATCGGCCATCGCCTGTGGCCATCGCTCGGACGTCCCTTCCATGTGTTGTTGTTCGGTTTCGTGCGCGGCTTTTTCCCCAAATGATCCAGGATGCTCCTCGATGGTCCTCGCCGAAGGAAAAGAATGCACACGTCCGAGCGATGCCAAGGCCTGAGGCAGGCTTTGACATGAGGGTGCTTAAAGCGGCGCGGAGGCCCGAGGCGAGCTCCATCCCAGGCGCGCCGAGCCGCTGCTCACGACCCGCGCGCCAGCCCGTGTGCGTGCACCGCCCGTGCGCAGCGGTGCGAGTGCGACGCGATGAAGAGATGCACGTCGGCAACTCACAGATTTGAGCAGGGACCGACCGTCCCGGCATCCCTATAGCCGATGTGCTAAAACAGGACAGCCCCGGCCAGAAATGCTCTAAGAACATGTCTTGGAGACCACAGAAAAAGGTTCTTAGAACATTGTTTGGTAGGCCTATAGGCACGCAGCGACGCTTCGCCACTGCTTGACACATGCGACGTAGACTGGACGTGACACACAAGATCTCGACCACGACTTCTGTTAACCGCAATCCTTGATGGGCAGCGTCATGTCCAGCTCTGACAACTTGATTGGCAACGTCATGTCCAGCTCCATGACATCGGCCGGCAGTGCGGCGTCGGCGTGGCCGACTGACACCTGGAGTTTGGAGACACAGCTGTATACACACGCATATATGCATGCGTATACGTGTATAGGTATGTGTAGATAGGTGCTAATCACGGGTTGCTAGGGGGTATCACGTTAAACGAGCTGGACCGCCCCTCGCGCAGCATCTCGAAGCCTAGAATTGCGAGGACTCGCGCGCGTCATCTCTGAGGTCAGAGCTGTGAGCGGCACCTCGGAGCGCAGAGTTTCGAGGATGTGTCAGGCGAAACGGGCCCCGAATGGCGAGGATGTCACAAGCGAAACAAGCCCGACCACCTCTTGCGCGGCATCTCAAAGCCCAGAGTTGCGAGGACTTCACAAGCGAGACAGGCCAGGCCATCTCTTGCGCGGCATCTCGAAGCCCGGAATTGCGAGGACGTCTCGGGCGAAACGGGCTTGACCACCTCGCGCGCGGCACCTCGGAGCCCAGAGCTGCCAGGACGTCCCCCCAAAATGCTCGAAGAACGAAAACAAGTTGCTTTGAACATGAACCCGATGTGTTAAGACAAGACAGTCCCAGCCAGAAACGTTCTAAGAACATGTCGTGGAGACCACGGACGGTTCTAAGGACATTGTTTGGTAGGCCTATAGGCGCGCCAGAACGCTTCGCCACTGCTTGAGTCTCGGGCGAAACGCCCAATCCCGGCCAACTCGGCCACGAGAACTGTGAGGATTTCTCGTGCGAGCCGGCCCGGACCACAATATTTAGGTCGGGCATGTCCCCCTACAGGGAGATCTTGGGCGAAAAATTAAGAATATCCCCAAAGTGCCACAAAATACTAAAATACCCCAAAAGATGCTCCAAAAATAGTCCCCAGACAATGTTTTAACTATTGTTGAAGTTTCCTCCTATAGAGGGACAGGCCCGACTTAACACAAGATGTGTATGTTGCGGATGTTCGCGACCAAGCCCCTCCCCAGCCGCAACCAGCTTCTGTCACAACAGCACCCCGTTCAGCAGGCTGCGTGGGGAAACACTTTGGGACCAAGGTGGGCCTGAGATCTATCACTCAACACAGGAAACGACCTAAACTTGAAACAGCGTTTTTCGTTTTCGTAATGTTTTTGTTTCCCCTCGTTTTGTCTTCAACCCGCCTCTGCTGCAAAACAACATCGGAACGAAAACGGCCCCCGGAATCGCCAACACACTGGTGAGGTCGACCCCTGACTCAGCACGGAGCCTCTGGAAGCCCTGGCCCTTGCCTCGGGGCCGCCTGTCTGCCCCGGTCAGTCTTCTGCTCGCTCTGGTGCCCGGGGCTCGTTCTCTACGAGTCTTGGGGCCGCGAACTCAGAACAGCCCCAGAGATCCGCTGTCGTGATTATTTCCCTGCGCGGCCCCCGGAAGTCTCGGCCCATTCCCCAGCACCGGCGTTTCACCCTGAGCCGCTTTGTTGACGGTCCCGGGGCCCGGCGAGCGCCCCTATAGAGGGGCAGAAAGGTGCGAGAAACCTTGGTCTTGATTTTTGTCAAGGCGTTGGATCTCTGGGGCCTCCGTCGGATGTTGCTCGAGAGGGTGGACGTCTGGGGGGAGGCTCCAGAGGAAGGGCGAGGGCGATCGAGCCACAAAAGCTGAGGGGCAGCAGTACCCCGGGGGGGCGCTGGCTCGAGGGAGGAGCACCGCTGATGGATCGGCGACGTGCCCCCGATAGCGAATCTGCAAGTTCCTGGAGGTCGACGCGCTCCCCTCGACCAGAGAGGAGGGCATCGACCTCCAGGGCTGATTCCAAGGCCGTCGCTGCTGCCCTGCAGCATCGCAGCAGTACGAAGTCTCAGGTGCCACTGCTTGAAATCACACAAAGGAGGAAGATCATCTAAGAGGGCGCCCCCAGCTCCCCCAGACCCGTGCTCCCCCAGAAATGGCTGGTCTGTCTAAGCCTGAGGTCGGGAACTCTTGCGTAGCGTGTCGCCGAGGCGGCCCCGGCGGCACGCTCTGCCTGGCGAGCGGACAGCGTGCTGCCGCTCCGCGGGGCGGGAGGCTCGGAGAGTCCCGGGACGCTCAAGCCCGGAGGCTAGGGAGGTGGATCGCGTGTCGCGCCGACGCGCGGTAGCCCTGAACGGGCGGAACGACGCGCTATCTAAAAGTTTCCGACCGCCCCCCCCCCCTCCCGAGGATGGCCAGGAGCTCTACCTCCTCCTCCTCCTCCTCCTCCTCCTCCTCCTCCTCCTCCTCCTTCCTCCCCGCTCCGTGGGACCGTGCGGGACGCTCCGCGCTCCCTGGCGGCCGCTCGGGACGATCCAGGCCTCGCGGAGAACGCTCCTGGCGAGGCGAAGCCGCGGGCACCCTGCGGCGGGAAAGCTGCGGAGAGCCGACGGGAACGTCCGAAAACCTTCAGCCTCCCCAGAGCCCCTCGAGTAGTGAAAAAATCGTGACGGGAGGTTTTCCTTCATGTTCGGCCTCTGGGGGCCCTCACCGGGCCTCGGGAGCGTCAAAAAACGACTCAGGACGAGAAACCGGTCCTGGGGAAAGGGTCGGGACCTCTGGGGGTCGATGTAACGAAAAAATCATTACGTCGGGGGTCTGGGTCCGTCCTCGAAGGTTCGCCCACCCGCCCCCCTGGGCCCATCCCCCCCCTGCCGCTGCCCCTGAGCTCGCCATCGCTCGGACGTCCAGCCCGGGTGGCGTGTTTTCTCCTACTATCCGGCTACACGCAAGAGTGACCCAGGGTAAGAGTGACCTTTGGCGGCTTTTCGGGGGCCGCGGGGGGACCAAACCGAGGCGCGCAAGCCGCTGCTCCTGCTTCGTTTTCAGCCATTTGGGGACCCGTCTGTTCCCGCACCAAAGGTCACTCCGGCGAAAGGTCACTCTTACCCTGAGGGTATCCGGACCTAAAATATAGGCCCCCAGTCCTATTTTTCCGCCCGCCTGTTCACCCGGACCTAAAACCTTGAACATCATAGGCCCCGGGCCTATAGTTTCAAGTTAACATAATCTATAGCATTTGGGGCAAGGGCCTAAAACATAGGCCCCCCCGGGCCTAAAATGCATTTGCACGTATACGTCTAGTCGAACTACGCAGGGCGTCTTCCGTGCAAGCACTGATTGGGGAAGGGCGCGCGCGTGCGAGCGATGCCTGGCCCCCGCCGCTGCCCGAGCGACCGGCTCTGGGGCCAACAGGGCGGGGCCGCAGGCCAGCGGGGAGCGGGGCCCGGGGGCCCCAGGGCGAAGGGGGGGTGGGACCGCCAGCCTCGTCATCATCGACGTGTGCGTGTGTGTGTGTGTGTGTGTGTGTGGGTGTGTGTGTGTGTGTGCGTGCGTGCGTGCGTGCGTGCGCGTGCGTGCGTGCGGCGTGCGTGCGTGAGTGAGAACTTGCGCGCGCGTGTGTGTGTGCGTGTGTGTGTGTGTGTGTGTGTGTGGTGTGTGTGAGTGTGGGTGTGGGTGTGTGTGAGTGTGTGCGTCGTGCGTGCGTGCGTGCGTGCAGTGCGTGTGCGTGTTCGTGTTGTTTGAGTGTGTGTGTGTGTGAGTGTGTGTGCGTGTGCGTGCGTGTGCGTGGTGTGTTGTGGTGTGTGCGCGCTGCGTGTGGTGCGTGTGGGGGGCCAGATCAAGGCGGCGGCCGAAGTCCCGAGCTCCAGAAACGCTGCTACGCAAAAGAACCGCACGATCGGGCGTCTGGGAGGGGGCACGAGCCCGCAAGGGAGCCCTGCGCCCTACCCTACCTCCTCTCCCTCCTCCTCCTCTCCTCCTCCTCCTCCTCCTCCTCCCGCCCCTCCTTCTCCCTCGTTGTCCTCCCTCCCCTTCTTCCTCCACCCCTCCCCCTCCCTCTCCTCCCTCCTCCTCCCTCCTCCTCCCTCCTCCTGCCTCCTCCTCCCCCTCCTCGCCTCCTCCTCCTCCTACATACATATCCTCCTCCTCTCCTCCTCTCCTCTCTCCTATTCTTCCTCCCTCCTCCTCTCCTCTCCTCCTCCTCCTCCTCGTGCTCCTCCTCCTCCTCCCCCTTCTCCTCCTTTCCTCCTCCTCCTCCTTCTCCTTGTCCTCTTCCCCCCTCCCCTTCCCCGTCCCCTCCGCCCTCCTCCCCCCCGCTTCCGTCCCTCCTCCCCCCACCTCCTCAGTCCTTCCCCCATCTAGTTCTCTATTAGGAGGACGAGTGCGTCGGACGTTTCTTAATGCAGAGGGGGGGGTAACTCGGGGGAGGGGGGGCGACGAAACGATCACATTTCGTGCCCCTCTTGGACCCCAGGGGGCCCCTTCAGGCTCCCTAAGGGGTGTGGTGTGCCCTCTTTTTCCTCGCCCACCCCTCGCCCTCCCCATCACGCAACGCCCGTCGGGCGAGCTCCCCCCCCTTCCCGTGCGAGGCAAGCGCACCGACGGAGACGCGGGCGTAGCCTTCCCCGCGCCATCGGGCTCACCTCCGCGAGGCAGGGGGGGGCGAGGCAACAGGGCGGCACAGGCGGCGAGCCGCGGCGGGGCTTGAGCGGGGCGGAGAAGCATCACCCTGCCCCCGCTACGATTACCTCCCGAGGGTAATGAAGTTCGGGGTTCCGGGGAGATGATGAGCTTCACTACCCCTGCAACACGGATGTACGGGTGTACGGTGTACGGCTGCACGGCGTGTGTGGTGCAGTATCAGTCGTAGTAGTAGCAGTCGTCGTCGTCGTCGTCGTCGTCGTCGTCGTCGTCGTCGTCGTCGTCGTCGTCGTCGTCGTCGTCGTAGTAGTAGTAGTAGTAGTAGTAGTAGTAGTAGTTGTAGTAGTAGTAGTAGTCGTAGTAGTAGTAGTAGTAGTAGTTCAGTAGTAGTTAGTAGTAGTATAGTAGTAGAGTAGATAGTAGTAGTAGGTTCGTATGGTAGTAGTAGTAGTAGTAGTAGTAATAGTAAGTAATAGTAGTAGTAGTAGTAGTCGTTCATTAGTAGTAGTATAGTCGTTAGTCGTAGTTGTAGTCGTAGGAGGAGTAGTCGTAGTTGGTAGTAGTAGTAGTAGTAGTAGTTAGAGTTAGTAGTAGTAGTTAGTAGAATAGTAGTAGTAGTAGTCCACAAGTAGTAGTAATAGTAGTAGTGGTAGTAGTTCTTTTTTCGTAGTAGAGGAAGTATAGTTAGTAGTAGTAGTAGAGGTAGTATGTAGTTAGTAGCAGTAGTAGTAGTCGAAGTCGAAGTCGAAGTCGTAGTCGTAGTAGTCGTAGTCGTCGTAGTAGTAGTAGTAGTAGTAGTAGTAGTCGTAGTAGTCGTAGTAGTAGTAGTAGTAGTAGTAGTAGTAGGTAGGTAGTAGTAGTAGTAGTAGTAGCAGTAGTAGCAGTGGTAGTAGTAGTAGTCGTCGTCGTCGTCGTCGTCGTCGTCGTCGTCGTCGTCGCAGTAGTGGTAGTAGTACTAGTAGTAGTAGTAGTAGTAGTAGTAGTAGTAGTGGTAGTAGTAGTAGTAGTAGTAGTAGTAGTAGTAGTAGTAGTAGTGGTGGTAGTAGTAGTAGTAGTAATAGTAGTGGTAGTAGTATTTGTAGTAGTAGTACGAGTAAGAGTAGTAGTTCGAAGTCGTACAAGTCGTCGTAGAAGTAGTAGTAGTAGTAGTCAGTAGTAGTACTAGTACTAGTAGTATTAGTAGTAGTTAGTGAGTAGTAGTAGGTGATAGCAGTAAGGGTAAGTAGTAGTAGTAGTAGTAGTAGTAATAGTACACCCGCGTCGTAGTCGTAGTCACGGAGTAGTTAGTAGTAGCAGAAGAAGGCGTAGTAGAAGAAGGCGAATAGTAGTAGTAGCCGCGGTCATCGTAGTAGTAGTAGTAGTAGTAGTAGTAGTAGTAGTGGTGGTGGTGGTTGGTGGTAATAAGTATCGTAGTAGTAGTGTAGTTGTAGTAGTAGTTAGTTAGTAGTAGTAGTAGTAGTAGTAGTAGTAGTAGTGGTAGTAGTAGTAGTAATAGTAGTAGTAATAGTAGTAGTTGTAGCAATGGTAGTAGTAGTAGTCGTCGTAGTAGTAGCAATAGTAGTAGTAGTAGTCGTAAGAGAAGTAGTAGCAGTAGGAGTCGTAGTAGAAGTAGGAGTAGTAGTAGATGTTGTAAGGGTAGTAGTAGTAGTAGCAGTAGTAGTAGTAGTAGTAGTAGTCGTCGTCGTAGTAGTAGTAGTAAAAGTAGTAGTAGTAGTAGTAGTAGTAGTAGTAGTAGTAGTAGTAGTGTTAGTAGTAGTAGCAGAAGTCGTAATAGTAGTAGTAGTCGCGGTAATCGTAGTAGTAGTAGGAGTAGTGGTGGTAGTAGTAGTAGTCGTAGTAGTCGCAGTAGTAGTAGTAGTAGTAGTAATAATAGTAGTAGTAGTGGTAGTAGTAGCAGTAGTGGTTGTACTAGTAGTAGTAGTAGTAATAGTAGTAGTAGTCGTAGTCGTAGTCGTAGTAGTAGTAGTAGTAGTAGTAGTAGTAGTAGTAGTAGTGGTAGTAGTAGTACAGTAGTAGTAGTAGCAGTAGTAGTCGCAGTAGTAGTAGTAGCAGTCGTAGTAGTAGTAGTGGTGGTGGTGGTGATGGTCGTAGTAGTCGTAGTCGTAGTACGAGCCGTACCAGTAGTAGTAATACTAGCAGTCGTAGTAGTACTACTACTACAAATAATAACATACATAACCGACATAATCGCAGTTGTCGTAGCGGTAGTAATAATACCAATAGTAGTCCGAATGGTGGTAGTAGTCGTGCTGGCAGTAGTAGTAGCAACAGTCGTCGTAGTAGCAGTGTAGTCGTAGTAGTAGTAATCGTAGTAGGCGTAATAATAGTATTAGTCGTAGTGGTAGTATTAGTTGTTGTTGTAACCACAGCCGTAGTAGTAGCCTTCGTAGTCAAACAGGTAGTAGTAGCATTAGTGGTAATAGTGGTAGTAGTAGAAGTCGTAGTAGAAGTTGTAGTCGTAGTTGTAATGCTCGGAGTCGTTAAACATTGGTAGGCATAGTATTCGTAGGAGTAGAAATCGTAGTAGTAGTAGTAGTAGTATGAGTAATGGTAATAGCAGCATCAGTGGTAGTAGTCGCAATAGTAAACATAGTAATATTATTAGCTTCTGCATAAGATTGTAGTAGTAATACTACTAAAAACAAGGGTAATAACAGCAATACTCCGGGCCATAATGCTAACAGTCGGGATTGTAATACTTGTAATGATATTATTACTCGTCGTCGCAGTCGTATTGGTTGTAGCCGCAGTCATAGCTGCACTAGCAGTAGTGGTTGTTGCATCCATCGCAGTCGTCGTCGTAGTAGTCGTTGTAGTGGTAGTGGTAACGAGAGTCGTGGTACTGATAAGAGTGATAGCAGTAGTAGTCGGAGTAGTAGTAGTAGGGTAGTAGTACTGGTAGTAGTACTAGTAGTAGTAGTAGTAGTAGTAGTAGTAGCAGCAGCAGTAGTAGTAGTAGTAGTAGTAGTAGTAGTAGTAGTAGTAATAGTAGTCGTAGTAGTAGTAGTAGTAGTAGTAGTAGTAGTAATCGTACAAGTAGACAACGTGGTAGTTGTAGTTGAAGTAGTAGGAGCCGTAGCAGTAGTAGTAGTAGTCGTAGAAGTCGTACTGCTGTTGTAGTAGTACCAGTAGTAGTGGTAGTAGTAGTGTACTACTAGTGGTAGTAGTGATAGTAGCGGCAGTAGTAGCAGTGCTGTGGTAGTGGTGGTTGT